AAGGGGTTAAACAACTCAATTAATATACAACACAAATAATGTCTTAAAAATAAAGTTTCCAAAAAGGGTTTTTCTTTCTTTCTAGTTTTAAACAGCCATTTTTGTTTCCCAAAGAACAAAAATATAAACATAAATAAATTATATATATATATATATATATATATATACACACACACACACACACACACTGTTAAAAAATAATCCCTAATAAATCAGTTTATATGCATGTTATAATAAGATTATGCATAGACTACGCTGTTCATTTTAAGAATATTGTATGGTAGAGACATAAATAATATTCTTTTAAATTGACATAAAACACTACATTTAAAACAGCATTAATTCCCTACTTGAAAGCCCACATTGCAATTTGCTTGACAAATGCAGTTCATCATATTATGAATAAGAGAGAAAAAATTCAGTGAGAGCATAAAAATACTCTGCCTATTGAGACACCTGAATAGGTTTAAAATAACATTCGCCTTAATGTTCAGCTTTAAGAGTTTCAAGCTGATGTCACTGTATTCTTTAGAAAAGGATTCTCTCTGGATTCAAAAAGACATATGAATGCCATTCTACAGGATATACTTGTAAAGATGCCATCCTGTAACATGCAAAGTCTAATCAGAGGCTGTTGTCTACACGGCAGACCTATTCTTTGCGGTCACAGTGAAACTAAACTAACTGCTAGCATTCCTCTGCTTTCAGATGTGATGGAGGACCATAGCATATGAGGGCATTTGTAAGAATTGGCTCAAAACCATACTTGTTAGACTTAAGTATAAATGAGTCATATGCAATTTATAATTTTCTGATTCACAATCTGAAGTCTGTTCTCTGAAGTTAAGTACAAAACTACAACGGCATCTTAAATATAAACCAAAGTATTGAAAGAAATTGAATAATATAAAAGATCTATAAAGTCTATACCTAAAAACTGTGTTTGTGTGTGTGTGTTTGGTCCCAGTATTCCCTACATAGGGACCATATGTCCCCACAAGGATATAATACTAGTAAATTTTCACTTTGTGGGGGAAATATTTTGTCCCCATGAGGAAACAAGCTTATAAATCATACAGAATGATCTTTTTGACAATCTAAAATAGCAGAAAGGTTTGCGTGAGGGATAGGTTTAGGTGGAGGGTTAGGGTAAGGGGATAGAAAAAAACAGGATAAAAACCATTACGTCTACACAGATAGATAGATAGATAGATAGATAGATAGATAGATAGATAGATAGATAGATAGATAGATAGACGGACGGACGGACAGACAGAAAGACAAGTTAGTAAGTTACAGTTTATATATCTCTTCTCCAATGACTTTATGGATGGATGGATGGATGGATGGATGGATGGATGGACGGACGGACGGACGGACGGACAGACAGACGGATAGATAGATAGATAGATAGATAGATAGATAGATAGATAGATAGATAGACGGACGGACGGACAGACAGAAAGACAAGTTAGTAAGTTACAGTTTATATATCTCTTCTCCAATGACTTTTGGTTAAAAACCCCGGTTGAAAACAGCCTAAACTCATATGAAATGCATGTATGATTTACTACCACTAACTACTCATCACTAACTAACTACTACTAACTATTAATTAGCCTACATTAAATTCATAATAGGCCTATAGACTATTTGTAAGTAAATAGGTAAAATGGAGACACTCAGATCGTCAAATTGGTCATTTCAATCGTTTGAGTAAACTCGAAAAGTGAGCAAAAAGTGGGGTTTTCTCATAAGGAAAGGTGTGCTCACTCACTCACTCATAACCGGTCTAGCAGGCAGGTTTAGGGTGAACTAACCCACGCGTTGGTAAGAACCTCTCTGACGAGTCCAACCGGCAGGATCATCATTCCACGCCGCCCTGAGTGAGACCCCATCCGTTTGCTCTCTATAAAAGCACCGTGATTTTGGAAAGAGATGTGCAGTTCGTCTGTGTGGAAAGATGTCCTTAAAAAAGCAAATCATCTCGCTTTAAATGTTTATTTTTCTAAGCAGGTTTCGAAAGAGGATCCCGGATCTATAGCGTTCACTCTACACTTCTTTTCTTCGGTAACCTGTGGCTGGCTTCCTCTTTGGCCGAGTGGTTCTCAACAGTTCAACAGTTCTTTTAAAATTGTGAAATGTTCAGGACCACTTGATCAGACGATGGAAAATTTCACAGCTGGGTCGGGCTTGTTACTTTGTTAAAATCAGGTTTGTTGAATTCACTGTATGATGACTGCGTTGTTGGCCTATTTGCGCTCTCTCTGTCATTGCTGTGTGTTAAATGTCTTATTGTATGACTTCACATTTGATGTATTTGATTTTCGTATTTTGTTTGAAAATAATAAACCTAATTCAAAATGAAACCTATAACTATTCTTTCTTATTTTTGTTACAAAACAGTAATTTTAGGGTTTGTCTTTGGTTAGCCTACGCACTGTAGGTTCTTTTTACCAACGTTCAGTACTACTTAATCCTTGGATTTAAGACAAGTTTAATAGTCTTCAGCACAACTTATTTTGTATTGCATGATATGTATGCGGTAACTTAAGTTTGTTTTACGTTTTACCTATATTTTAGAATGTAAATGATAACTATTTTAGAAGTTTTTATTTAGCCCACACCATGCATTTTGGAGGAAAATATTAGGTGGGTGAGTAAATAAATAAAACCCCTACTTCTGCACAGTTTTTGCGTTTACTCAGAATTGTTGAATTTCACGATTGAGACGAAGAGTTTCGAGCAGATATTCATCAGAGGTGGAGATGATGTTACCATTAATGGGAAGATGGCCAGATTACACCGGCATGAAAACAGCTGAGGAGTTCCCCCGGGACGCTGTGTTTAGGATGCAGGGCATGTCTGTGAGACTCCAGGGACCACTGGACATGATACAAATCATTTCAACATGGATTAAAAAGATCGGACACCCAATAATCCCATACAATGTAAATTTTACCCCCCATTACACTCATGTGACCTTTTAGGTAGAAGCAGAAAGGCATTAATGAGATAAAGGCCTGCAAAGGTCAGACATTATTTACGCAAATAGTAAATAATTACACACCTGCCAATGCAAACATAATTTTACACTTATGATATGATATATGAGGCCATTTGCAATGCCCTAAAACAGATCGAAATGGCTGCTTAGACTACATTGCACTGCGGTGTTAATTTAATAAAATAATGGTAACAGGTGAAGTTACTGTAGACCTATGTGTTGTGAGACACGACAGTAACTCATACAAGTCTTTTGAGGAAGAAGAGAGAGAGAGAGAGAGAGAGAGGGAGAGAGAGAGAGAGAGAGAGGCGGAGACACCAGCGACGCTTTGAATCGATCCACATGGTTTTCATTTGGACTACCAGGTGTGCTGGGATATAGCACTGGTTCGCGCAAAGGATAGAGATGGATAAACATACGCCAAAGCTCCTGAAGGACAACATTGTCTTTTAAAAAGTCACAAGTATTTGTTCTTATTCTGATGTCTTTTCACATGGTTTCATTAAGCGGCGTGTCTTGGTAATTAGAAACTGGCTGTAACACCCAGATGACAACACAGCTCAAACAAGAGGTTTTCCATGGCTTTACATGATGCACCACCAGATTCAAGGAATATACAGCAGAGGGAAGCACCTGTGGAACTTGACACTCTCATTTTGGATGCCGATATAATATTTGGACTGACCAGTCATTATCTGAAGAGAAAACCGAAGGTAATTGCTCCTTGTCCGTTTGCATGCTTTGTTAACTTCATATAGCTGTTAAATATAGTACGTTTAAACCTAGATGCTTAGCTTATCTGTCAAATAGAAAAAAAGTGCAAAAAGATCAAGAACATTTCAGCACCACGAACAGCTCCTTCGAAAAGACCCATAAATGTGTGTCTACTGTAACCACAGCAAATCCCACAAAGTGTTTGCACAAAGTGTTTCATGTCATGTTTTAGATCTCACAAGAGACCTGCGCGGCGCGTCTAACAGTAAAGTGCGCAACCACAACAAATGCAAATGGTATCACAATGTAGTCTAAAATGCACCCAAACATTTCTAACATATCAATTCACACATTTTTGAAGAGTAAAATATTTGTATACAAGCTCCACCAATGAATAAACTTCACAATGTTTTTTTCATGCAAATGCAATTGCAGACTGTGGCCATGTGGAGGCGCTATAGGAATAGTAAATGGCTGACTGCGCCACTGAAAATACTCCCTTTCTCTGTCTTGCACAGTACTTTATTAGCATGTCTATTTTACATTGTGTTCCTATAATACTATGCAAAAATAAATAGTGACAAAAAGTGAAAAATAATAAAATATAAACTATAGGCCTATAAAGTGTCAGTAATGTGAATAAAATAATAAGTGTAATAATAGAATATAAAATAAAAATTCTGCGCTTTTTTACATGTTGCCCTGTCTTGGCGTGGCTTTCCTCCTTTCCCCTGGGTGCTCCGGTTTCCACCACAACCCAAAGCAGCAAATGTGAATTGGACTTAACTGTCCGCAGGTGTGAGTTTTATACGTTTCTGACCGAAAAATGAGGAATAGGATTTGAGTTTTTCTAAATATTTCATTCAGCTACGGAATCCATGGTAGTAAATCAAAAAGTGCGCCTCGATACGTCTGCATACGTCTATTGTGCCTACACCACCGTACTCTCAATGAAAACGGGTTACATTTCTCCCCTGTTCACAAGAGAACGATGCGCCTTCAATGTGAATCAGAGTCAGGAGCGCGCTGTGTGAGCAGTGATTCTGCTCCGCCCCTCAGCGATCCAATATCAGTCTAACTTTGAGAGCTTATTTAAATTCATTTATCGTCAACATGGGCTTGAGAAGCGCAACAACTCGCAAGACTGGAAAAACTCAACTTTAGACGCTTGCATAGAGTTACCATCTATGAAATCAAATGGATAATTTGCGAATTTCGCAGTGAGTTGGAGCACATCAGGTCAGACTGTCTGACACGCGGAGACATTTAAAACAGAAACATGCGCTCTCATCATTGGGTTCAAGGTGCAGGACGCAGCCCAGATTTCAGGAGGTTCACGGTGAGATGCTTTTATTAACTTAAATACTTATGCTTTTATTAACTTAAATACTTAGCATTTGATAAATGAAAGCACATATTGATTCATGAGCAGTGTTTATCCTACTGGAAAAGTTGGTTTGGTGGTCTTAACTGGTTTTTAAGCCTTTGTCAGGTTGGTCTAGCTGGTTTTCAAAGGCTTTCAGCCGGTCAGGATGGGAGAATAGCTAGACTATCTGAAGACCAGCTTAGCAAGGCTTGGAAATCATCTTAAATGTGCCTCTCTCTCTCTCTCTCTCTCTCTCTTTAGCAGTACATTGTTGTTATTTGGAGGACCATATAATGAGAGTCTTAAAGTAAAGTTTTGTGGCAACAGTCTACATTTTTCCAGCAGCCACTTTTCATTCATCTCTCAGTTTGAATGATCTTCTGCCCTTCTCTCACTTAAGGTCGTTGAAGTATCAGCAAGCAGTGAATCAGTGCAGAGTCCAGCACTCAATCCTAGGAAAAGGATTCATTCTGCAGAGGAAGTGCAATGCGGCAGCCGGCCAAACCCGGAGGGTGCCGGTTCAGTGTCCGTAACGGAGTTAAGTTATTCTGAGAACAAGCACGGGAGGGAAAGCCTGTGTCAGCGATGTCAAATCATTGCGAAGCAACTGAACAGGCAGGCGTGCGAGCTGGCCGAGCCAGGAATTCTGAAGGTTTGTGCATTCAACTAAACCATTAAATCAATTCATCTCAGGGCCTGTTACACCATGAAGACAGTGACTGTGGTTTAGAAATAATCATTTTCATCTTTTAAGACTAAACTCTAATTAAAAGCAGTAAAAGTTACTTTCTAACAATACCCATTACATAATAGCCTAATAAAGAATTTAGGAGAGTTCAAAAGCCTTAAAATGCGTAGTTCACTCAAAAATGAAAATTCAATCTTTCTTTTTTTTTCTCACACTCATGTTGTTCCACACCTGTCTCACCTTTTTTCTTCATGGAACACAAACGATAATGTTTAGCATATTGGCAGTCTCAGTCTCTACTCAATTTTTTTGTATGGAGAAAAAAATATTTAAATGTTAAGATTGAAAGTGTTGGGTGACAAAAACATTCTAAACATTAAACAAAAACATTAGTCATTATGGCTAACATTTCCTTTTATGTTTCACAGAATAAAGAAAATCAAACAGGTGTGGAACAACATGGCAGGAAGTAAATTTGTGATTAGTTTATATATATATAGTTTGGGGTCAGCAAATATTTTTTATTTTTTGAAAGAAATGAATAGTTTTATTCAGCAAGTATTCATTAAATTGATCAAAAGTGACATTAAAACATTTATATTACAAAAGATTTTTGGACTATCTTTTCATCTAAGAATTCTAAAAAATTGTATCACGGTTTCCACAAAAATATTAAAGTAATATTAAAGTGTGATGATAATAATTAATGTTTATTGAGCAGCAGATCAGCATATTAGAATGACTTCTGAAGGGTGACACTGAAGGCTGGAGTAATGGCTGCTAAAAATTCAGCTTAGCTATCACAGGAATAAATTACTTTTTAAAGATATATTAAGATAGAAACAGTTACTTTAAATTGTAATAATATTTCACTATTGTTTTTACTCTATTTTTGATCAAATAACTGTAGCCTTGGTGAACATAAAAGACTTCTTACCGACCTCAAGAAGACCACATATTAATACACAAACATCTAAAATGTACAATCCGCATATGAATTTGATGCAGTGCGAGTTCAAAACACCATTTGACATGAATACTTTTGGACACATCGCTGTCGTTAAGGATAATGCCTACTCTATGAAGTTGAAATGGCAGTATTTTGACTTGTCTGCCTCTTCAGCCCACCATGCATCTAAAATACCCTTCGACAATGCTCAAAAATATGAGGTGTGCTACTTCTTTTTGACACTTCCACCAAGGTCTACCCTGTCCACAATGATTATTTTAGATGATAGTGAGATGGATTGCAGGTAAAACACATTTCAATGACCAGTAGAACCGTCCAACTCAGCAGGATTTTATGGTCCCATTAATCGTGAGCGATGACACACTTTGAGTGGCTATATTCAAGAGAAGATCTGCTGAGATGAATGTAAGCAGTCATGCCTATCATTGGTGATGAGAGTTCTGATTATATTAACTGTCCTGGCAGTGGCAAACCTTAGTCTTTCACTGAAGAATCAGCTCAAACTAAACTGCATCTAATGGCGCTTTTCCACTGCATGGTACGGCTCGGTACGACGCAAACCGTGCCGAGCCGAACCGTGCCGTGCCGTACTGAGCCGTACCGAGCCGAGTCATACCACGCAGTGGAAAAGCGCCATAAGTTTATAGTATGTTTATGGCAGAAGCATAACTTTTAATGAAAATCTCCAGTTCCTTTATACTTACAAAAGCTTATATACTTATAAATGTATAAAGATAATCTTTTCATCTTAATTTAACAGTTTAGCCTCTGACTCATTAAACATTGTCATTGACTTACAGTTATTTAGAGCTAGCCCACTTGTTTCCTTTGTTATTGCTTGTATTTATTATGCAGTTACATCATTATTTATGAGTGTTAACATTGTCTTGTGTCCATGCTTGTATACCGCAGCACTTGGTAGTTATTGTTCTTAGCAACAATGCATGTAAATGGAAGTGTTGAAGTGATACCATCTGAAAAGGAAGTTAAAGCCACCTAACTTTTACCACTCAATGAAAGTGTGATCCTGTTGGCTTGGTAATGCATTTCCTCAAATGACCAGAGGCTGTGCATTCCTTCACGTTGACTGGGATTATAAAGAGTTGGACCTGACCGTAACCTCCTGTTTTGAAGTTTTGTCTTTCAAACTGACCCAGCCACAGGAATGAATAGTTTATATCAGGCCAGCACATTTTCAGATACTTATACATTCTTAAAAATAAAGGTCCCAAAGGTTTTTGCTGTAGTAGAAGAACCATTTTGGGTTCCCCAAAGAATCTTTTTGTGAACAACCATGTTTTTTTTTAATTTTTAAAAAAAAAATAATCTAAAGAACCATTTTCCACTGTAAAGAAGCTTTTGCCAACAATGAACCTTTATTTTTAGAATTTTTGTAATCATTCTCTCTAGAAAGAATATTTGTTGCTTCTTTATGATGGGTAGGATTCATTTAATAAAAACGTAATTAATTAATAATAAAGACCATATTTAGCACTTAATAACACTTTAAGGCAGTACCATAATGCAGCAGTGCTGGGCTATAAAGCTATATTGTCTGGTTCAGTCACACACCTTTTGATTACAACATATTTCAAGGTTTATTTTGGGGACACTCGCATGTTTTGGGAAAGTCCAGCTCTGCTACTTGGCTAACAAAAATGTGCTTTCCAGTACCTCCCTTATGCACTGGGACATAACAATTCCATCCCAAAACTGTAGATCATCCAGTCTGAGGCCATTTTAGAGGCATTTATTAAAAGGATTGTTCACCCAAATATAAAAATTCTGTCATCATTTAGTCACGTTGTTTAGTCAAGTTGTTCCTAACCTGTATGACTTTCTTTATTCTGTTGAGCACAAAATAAGATATTTTGAAGAATGTTGGTAACTAAACAGCCGCCAGTAGCCATTGACTTACATAGTACATAATATATAATACATAGTATTTTTTTCCATACTCTGGAAGTCTTCCATCAACTGTTTGTGCTCAAAAGAGAAAAGAAACTCATACAGGTTTGGAACAAACTGAGGGTGAGTAAATGGTGACTGAATTTAGATTTTTGGATAAATTATCCCTTTGAGAATATTTATTGCTTTGGTCAATCATTTTGGACATTAGAAAGGTGCAGCTTGATAATTAAAGATGAATTTCAGACAAGTGACTAGAACTGTGAAAGGTATATTTTGCATTTCAACGATTTCAGCATAGCAAAATATAACAAACATGGTTTGATTCGGTTTTATGACGGATTCACTCAAAAAACAAAGATAGACAAACTACAATCCAGTCTTGTTTTCTTAATAAAAAGTATTTGGAAGACTAGCAAAGCATGGACAGAATAAATAGTTGCTTTCCTAGACTCTATAATTATAAGCCTGGAGATAAGATGTGGTAAAGCTGTAAAATGTGCAAGGACATTTTCTTCTCAGCCGTCTCAGACAGAGTTAAATTATTTGTCAGCTCAGACAATCAAGTCTGGGTCCAGACAGTCAGATTAAGCTGTAAGATACCCCTGCAAAGGCTGAGCGTTCAACAAATGCAAGATGAAAGAATCCCAAGCCACTTTTAGCACACAATGATTCTGTCAATACCAGACTCCATAAGTTTGTCTCATGGAGTCGTATCTCACAGAAAGAGTTTAAATTAAAAAGTGTAATGGCAGTCTAAATCCATTCTGACTCGTCAATGAAAAACAAATTGGATTGTAGAATGGAGAGATTTATCTCAATTTCAGATCATTATGATCACATAACAGTGGGTTACCCAATGAATTAAAAACAAATCCTTGTGTAGCAGATCTGCAGAAGGAAGATTAACTTTAAAGAGTACTCATATGGAATTTTTTTCCACAGCCAATATATATATAGATTTTGAAGGATCATATGACACTGAAAACTGGAGTGATGGCTGCTGAAAATTCAGCTTTAACATGGTAAAAATTTATAAAACTTTAAAATATATTAAAGAAGAAAATAGTTATTTTAAATTGTAATACTATTTCACAAATATATATATATATATATATATATATATATATATATAAAATACAAGGAAATATAAGTAAATAAAATTAATTGATAACATCTAAATATATTTAAAAATCGATATTAGCAATTTATGGCTATTTTTTGTATATTTTTTCCTGTATGGTACTGGGGCAGATTAAGCTTTAGAGACTTGATATTTGGGTTGAAATATAGTAAGCATTTTCAAAAGGTCTGAAAGCCATTGTAAATGTTATTACAATTTTGAACGTTCAGTGAAATTATCATACAACCTAGCAAAAGCAAATTAGGGGTCTGAATTACTCCAGGACATCACAATATAGTATTTGAGGTTACATGGCTTAAAGCCACATTATGATCACTGCAAAGGCATGTGATATTAAATATTTATTGGTAAGACTAACAATAGCATTATTTAGTCAGCTGTGTGGTTTTCATTTTGGCACAATACTTCACTTTTGAGTATATGTGGGAGTTTTTATCACTACAGACATGTAACTCAAAAACACATGATTTGTGCACAACTAATGACTTGTTTTCACCCTTTAACCTTTTTGTCCAGCATTCTGCAAAGGTATTCTTACTTATATTCCTGCTATTCTAAATGATAGTGCTGTTTTACATGTAATGTTGTGCTTTTGTTTTCTCAATTTACAGTCATAATCCACTTCAGTGGTTTTCTTTAACCAGTCCTGAGGCATGTTGGGACATTTCTGAGTGCTGGCCCTTTGAAAATCCCCTAAAATGCCAACGTAAAGAACCTAAAGGCTCCCAGCATGTTTTGCTTTTACATTTACTGGTAAAATCACCCCTGAACATTTTCCTATCTGTGAGCTTTAGATGACACAGTAAGCATCTGACTGCCCCCCTGTGTTCAAAACTGGGGAACATCCAGCTCTGAAAATATTTACTGAAGGTATTGAGAGGACTACTTACCAAGCAGTGCATTCTAGGTAAAAAGGATGATTACTACTATCAGCCAGGACCA